TTTAACCTTCTCTTGGCCTCTAAAGAGAATAATATCGCAAGAGAAACCACTGAGAGCTTTTCCTGAGACAGCCTGCTTAAGGGGTAGGAGAAGTAAAATAGTAACTTATTTCTAATTATAGATCAACGAACTCAGCGAACTAACCATACGGTTTTAAATTCATTCCTGTCCTGGTCCAAGCTATAGGTCATCCGATTTACATTTCACTGCGTACATCTCCCGGCACTAGGTATTCGTGACGGGCTTCCAGGGTCTCTTACAAGTGTCATGGGAAGTGTTTGAGGTGACGATGAGCTGGGTGCCCCACCTGGGCATCAGCCTGCCCCATGACTGGGAGTTCACCGCACTTGTGGCTCTCCTGGGCAAGGAGCAGCTATGTTTTCAAGAAAGCCAGCTTTCAAATGCGTGGTCTTCTGAAATGCTGTCTCTCCACTATCCTCAACAGCTGGGTGAAAAAAAAAAAAAGAGCTTTTTCAAGAACTATTCTTCCTCGTGAATCCTGGTCTTTGCATTGACCCTTTTGTATGCTTTTTGATAGTCTGTCCCCGCCGTCAGAGAGGATCTAACCATCACTTGATGGACCTGGCTGGCAAGTATTGGGGGATTGGTAATTTTGCCATTGCCAGTTCTTAACCGTGTTGTCTCACAACAAACAACAAACCTAGGCGTGGGGCAGGAGATGATAAAGTTATTTTGAAAGCTAAATGCCGAAACACTACAGCCTGCATGCTCCTTGTCTCCTGAGGTCCCCACAGCACTGACCCAAAGCTCCAGCCTATAAATATATCTACAGTTTCTACTCGGGTTCCTCCCATGCATTACCTCTTTCCAAATGGGTGTCCTGGTCTTTGATTGCATCATTTGGTGTGTCCTAAGGTCAAATCAAACCGCCTACTGGTGGAAAGTTAGTTTGGACTTTTGCTCCATTCAGCTCTCGGTATCTGCTGAGACTGCAGCCAGAAATCCTGGTTAACGCCAGCTGGGGTAGGTACTTGGATATGCAGGCACCTGCCAAGGTGCCCCTGAAGTTTCAGGCTATTCCAAAAGTTACTCCAGCTGGGAGTGCCGGGGTACATCGCTGACATTGCTTGGCCAGAACCAAGACGTGAAAAAGCGTCACCACCCCCAGCAGCGCTGCCTGCTCGCCTCCAGCAGGCCACTTGTCTCACCCACACCGACACTCACCTCAGTCCCTGGGCTTTTTCTTCATATTCTGCACCTTCTCAGTCTGTTGGCTGTGACAAGTGGTTATTTGCCTTTGGGGGAAAAAAAAAACCAAAACTGATTCCTTAAGCGCTAGGTGGGCTTCATGACCCATGGCTCTGGAGCTGATTGGTGACTCCAAATGTGCAGCCCAAATAGCTGTGAGTTAAATCTGAGGCACTGCACGGAAACTAGAAATTGTTCGCGTTTCCTTTCCTTTCACGCCTCTGCTATGGCATCTTTGAGCACCCTCTCACATATCCGTAACACGAACCCTTCTGGTTTTATTACCTGATGAAAGCGAGAAGTAATTGATCAGAGCTAGAGCTTGTGTTTTACACAGGAAAATGGGCAAACAAGGTTAATTAAATGGGAAGTGTTGAAATTTATTTGGATTTTGTTCAGTTAGCATTTTACCAGGGTTGAGTTTTATAGATAGGTATGGTTTCCATCAGCAAGGTAAATGCAATGATGTGTCAGGGCTGAAAAGTTTTACACAGACCGTTCCTGAAGTTAATGAAGCCCATGGTGTTCAACGCCCACAGCTGCTGAAAGAGCCCGATATTAGCGTGGAAGGGAAGTGATGTTTACATTAAGAAATAGAATTGGTTTAAGAAATAGAATTGTTTGCTGATAACAAGATATAGCTATCAGGAGTCATAGGTTAGTCATCTAAAGGATCGAACTAAAGCTGTTCCAATTAAGCTAAATTAGCCCTTCAGTTCAAACACAGAAATATATTTCTGGGGGAAAAGTAGGTCTGACTGATTCTTCATTTACATGGGTGGCAACATTCTCCAGGAATCATCATCCAGCTCTGCTTCAAAGCATGAGATCAAAAGAAGGCCAGTATATAGGGATTTCTTTACCTTCTGGTTTCTGCATCTTCAGGCAACGGCTGAGCCAAGTGTCCAGTTTCTGCCATCTTCTGGAGCACTGAAGACTAAAACCGTGCTTAAATTCTGGGATTTTTTTGTGGATTCTCATGATATCCTGCAGCTTGAGTATTAGGAAAGAAAAAACAATGTCTGGTCTTTAAATTATGAGGGGTAAAAAGATGAGAAAGACTTGACCACCACCTTAAGATCTGGCACAGAGCTAGG